CGTTCGATGTAGAAACCTTCTCAGGAACTGCTCGACGGCAGTCCCAGGCTCCTGGCAAGTGAGGCGGCGTGCCATCCAGAATGGATCTTAGCATCCATGGATATCGACAAAGCGTTCCTCCAAGGTCTGACCTATGAGGAACTTGCTCATGCCACCAGCGAAGAAACTCGCATGGTTTGCTTCGCTCTTCCACCAGGAAGCGCCCAGGTGCTTCGTACACTGCCAGGCTTCTCTTCTTACGATGAAAGCCGACTCTGCCTCGGGTGCCTCAAGCCAGGGACGGGTGCAAAGGACGCCCCAAGAGCGTTCCCCCTCAAGCTTCGTACGACCACGCGAGCTATAGGCCTCGCACCGACAAGTTACGATCCTGAGTTTGAATTCAGTCAAGATCTGTTAACAGCAAAACATGTCGACGACATCAACATGACAGGCCTAGAGGAAATGTAGATGACTATGTACAACGTGTCGAAAAGGTGTTTGGTAAATGCAAGCTCAACAAACATTCTTATACGAACTGCGCCGTTCGCTACACTAAGAATGACCAAGGGGATGTGATCATGGATCAGGACGAGTACATTAAACAACTACGTCCTATTACACACCCCGAACTTACGGGAGCGGCGGCTGACGCCAAAGCTACCAAACTCATCGCCGACATGTTCGTTAGTCTGCGAGGAGCTCTCGCCTATGCCCTTCTTACTCAAGTCTGGCTTTTGGTGTATGTGGTCTCTCTCCAGAAGAATCAAGAGCCCGACAACTTACAAGTCAGACGACTGAATGCTGTGGCGCGAAAGCTGATCAGCAGCCCGAAACGCATCACCTCCCCTCGGATGAAACCGACGAGCGAAGTAGATATGCACAGTGATTCGGGGTATCGGAAGCTCACCGGGGAGGAAGACGATGAGACTAAGGGCTACGGCATACGTGGGGCTAACGTATTACGTCGAGGACACTCGCCTCAAGGCAGATCCGTCATCCACCTTTGCGGCGGACTATGTAAATCACACCGACTGCAGGTGAGATCCAGCTATGCCGCTGAGGCACTTGCAGCTGCACACAACCTTGATGAATGTTACCCTACGCTCATCGCTCTCTACGAGCTCAAGGCAGGGGCCCTGACTCCACGACAACTGCGAGATATGCGTGAAGTTGGAGGCCTAGCTATCAAAGTATCCCTTACCATAGACGCTGAGTCTGTGTACAAACCGCTAGCCAGCAAAGATCTTAAGATACCGACGGAACGGACTTTGCTGGGACATATCAGCTGGATACGTGAGTTGATGGATATAGGTATAGTGCATAACGTGCAGTGGTGTGATACTAGAGACATGACCGCAGATGGGCATACAAAGGAGAGTATCGATCGGGAGCTGCCTTTGGAGGTGATGTCAGGTACTCAGTCATTTAAGTATGACGTGAAGCAGTTTGTTCCCTTTCGGGGTCCTGAGAACAGAAACAAGCCTAAGTCAAATCAGTTTTAGTCTGTCCTTGTTGCCCCCGCGGTCCAGTCTGCCAGCATGGGCGCCTAATACAGAGGCGCCCTCCTAGTTCCTCGGAAACGAGCCTTACTTTTCACGCTTGCTAACGAGCCTGTTCAGATTGATTCAGGCTCTTTGCTTTAATACCCTTTTGCTCGGAGAGGTATAGCCTGTTTGGCTTACCTCTAGCCGGGCCGATAGCCCTTTGATGTTCAAGGGGCTATCTTGCGTATGCGTGAAATGCTTTGCGAGGAAACTGGCCTTATAGTCTGGTGTTAGGCCAGACTGTACGCACTGTTTTTCTTGCAAACAGTCGTGCGCGCGGCCTTTGTAGAGCCTAACGGCTGCGCGGCTATACTCACCGTCTCCTCCTCTCCCGATTTTAAGGGTAGCTCTTTGGGAGATGTTATATAGGATCGGGAGTATAGCTCGCGCGCCGTTGCCTTTGGCTCAAGGCACGCGCGCCCTATTTGCCCGGACACTGCTCGTGTTCGTTACGTGTTGGAAAGATCATTACATCGATCTTATCTTATCTTATCCGTCCATTCCCCTTACTGAACCACCACAGTACGGCGCCGGACGCTATTTGCCATCCGCTTCCCATGGAGTCGGATGCTATTTGACTTACCATAGTCACTTCAGACTGCTTGGGCCGTCTTGAGGCCTGGATGCGTCTTGGGCGAACCTGGAATCTTCTTGGACCTTCTTGGGCCGTCTTGGAGACCATCTAGTTCCATCTTGGGCAGTCTTGGAGGCCATCGTACGCTATTTTGGTCATCTTGGAAGCGAGATTTCAGGGTTTTCTGGGCTCTTCGGAGTGGCTGGAGGAGACTGCATTTTGAACGTTTTTGGAAGGGCCCAACCGGCCAGTTGCCACTAAGCACGCTGTGCACCCCTCTGCTAGCAAACGCGTGGCGGCGGATCGAAGTCGCCTACGGCGAATCACCGCCACCCCCTGCCTGTTGGAATCGCCCATGTGGCCGAGCGTTGTGGCAAGAGCTCTGCCAAGCTACCGGGCCATGTGTTCCCACAGTTGTTGTGGGAATCTTTCGGGGAACATTTGGGGGAGGATGGCGGGGAAGATCAGGAGGAGGAGGAGGAGGAGGAGGAGGAGGAGGAGGAGGAGGAGGAGGAGGAGGAGGAGGAGGAGGAGGAAAAGGAGGGGGCATTTTGGGAGCCTCTGGGGGCACTCTTGGGGCCTCTTGGAGGCATCTTGGGGGCCTTCTTGGGCCTCTTGGAGGCGATGGGGGCTTTTCCGGGGCCTCTTGGGCCGTCTTGACGCTGTCGGAAGCCGTTTTAGGGGCCTCTCTGGGCCGACTTGGGGCCCTCTTGGCGTGCTCCAGGGCCGTCTTGGAGGCCATCTTGGGCATCTTGGAGGCCTCTTGGGCCGACCAGGGGCCGTGTTGGGGGCCTCTTGGGGGCCTCTTGCGCCGTTCTGGGGTCATCTTTGAGGCCTCTTGGGGGATCTTGGGGCGATCTTTGGGCCGTCTGCCATCGGAAGGCAGAAACAGCAAATGCCAGCATCCTTGAAAAGCCTTCGGACAATCAGTGATTTTGGTTTCTTCGGGCCTTCCTGGAGGCCCTCTTGGTGGCCTCTTGGGCCGTCTTGGAGACCTCTTGGGGGCCTCTTGGGCCGTCTTGGGCCATCTTGGAGCCATCTTGGGCCGTCTTGGTGGGCTCCTGGCCCATCTGATGCCGTCGGAAGCCGTCTTTGGGGCTTCTCTGGGCAGACTTAGGGCCCTCTTGGCGTACTCCGGGGCAGTCTTGGAGGCCATCTTAAGCGTCTTAAGAACCTCCTAGGCCGTCTTGGGGCTCCTTGGGGCCGTCTTGGGGGTCTCTTGGGCCGTCCTAGGACCATCTTGGGGGCCTCTGGGGCGATCTTGGGGCGATCTTTGGGGGCTCTTGGGCCGTCTCAGGCCGTTGGAAAACCGAAAAGAAGCAAATGCCGAAATCCTCGAAACATCAAAGGAAACCACTGATTTTGGCTCCTTCGGGCTCTCCTGGAGGGTGTCTTGGGGACATCTCGGGAGCCTCTTGGGCCGCTGAGGGCCATCTTGGAGGCTTCTTGGGCGGACTCGGAGTCATCTTGGCGCCGTTTTGGGCCGTTCTTCGGTAAACTTGGAGGCAACGCGGACCATCTTGGGCCATCTTGGAGGCCATTTCGGGCCAACGTGTCCATCTTTGAGGCCATCTTGACCGTCTTGGGCATTTTTTGTGGACGTTGTGCCCGTTCATGGTTCCCTTCGGGTGGCTGGCGCGCTGGGCCGAAGCCTCAGGGGGAGTTCTCTTGGAAAAGAGCCAACACCACATCGTAAGAAGTCAGCACGCCGGGCACCCTGGTGGCAAGCCAACAGGGGACGGCGGATCTGGCGGCCTTCGGACTACAGGCGGGGCGCTGAAGAAGGAACCCTTTTCGTTTGGGAGGGGCTCCGTGCTCCTTAATTGTTTTGCCGTTTGCCTTAGGTTTACCTTCGGTCTCCGATCGGACATCGGAGTTAAACTTAAGGAAAAAAAGAGAATCGTTCCTGTTCCTCAGGTCAACGCCCCGACTGTATGCTGCCACCGTGCCTGGGTCGTGGACCAGAGGCCCTTTGGATACCTTTTGGGGTCCCTTCTTTGTGTGTCTTGGGGGCCTCTTGTGAGCAGGGTCTCTTGGAGGACTCCGGGGGGGGGCGCTCGAGGCCATAGCAGAGAGGAGAAATCCAGTGGGGTCTGGCTGTTGCTTGCTTTTTGGGGCCCTCTTGGTGTTGTCTTGGAGGCTTCTTCGGCCCTTCGGTGGGGTCCTCGAGGATCATCCAGCTGTGATCGTATCGGCTTCTGGGGCCGTGAAAGATGATTCTGCCATCATCGCTCAATCATTTTTTGGTTTGACATGCTTTGCTTCTCTGGCAGGCCCCGATGGCGCCTTCAGGAGGGACCCAGGGGCCCTCAAGACTCAAGACGGTCTAGCAGGAAACCCTGGGAGACTGCTAACGATTGCCAGAGGTCTGGACTCCGAACCATCCCGTGGGGCTAGTTCTGGGCCTACGGGGGGGGGTTGCAGTCCAGGGTGGCGGCTGCCCCCCACCCCCTCCCTTGAGGGTGCCTCCCTCGGGATTCCTCCTCCTCCTCCTCCTCCTCCTCTTCCTCCTCCTCTTCCTCCTCCTCCTCCTCCTCCTCCTCCTCCTCCTCCTCCTCCTCCTCCTCCTCCTCCTCCTCCTCCTCCTCCTCCTCCCTTTCCTCCTCCCTTTCCTCCTCCCTTTCCTCCTCCTCCTCCTCCTCCTCCTCCTCCTCTCCCCGCCACCCTGGCGGGAGGGGATCAAAGGGAAGGGTCTTCCCTTCGGTTAGATTGCGACGTTGCTCGGTCTCCCTTCGGCTGGCGTGCCTGGGGAGGAGGGCTCAAGGTGGCCAAAGTGACGGGGGGCCCCCACGGGGCCATCATCCTCTCACACACGCACCCGCCAGCAGGGTCGTCGTGTGTTGACGAGTCAATCCGGCTTCGCTCTGATTTTGCCTCGTCGTTTCTGTGATTATCTCTCCCAGCCCTCTTCCATCACACCCCCGCCGACGCTTCAATATCTGTGTCGTGTCTTATGAGGGTCCCAGCGCGCGGCGGCCGCTGCACTACAACTGCATGCGGAGCGCGATGCGGGGATCAAAGAGCGTGTCTGCGAGTAGGAGGAAGAGGGATACTTCGATGACTTGGACAGGGAGGTGAGAAGTCGAAGAAGGAGGAGGCGGAGTAGGAGGCAAGGGCATTTTGTGCTCGAAAGGAGTGTCTCCACGTTACCAGCTGAAGCACTTTTTCGGATTTGGGTACGCTGTCTTCCTTTCTGTGGGAGAGCGGTCCAGTCAATTCTTGCCTCTCCATTTCTGACACTCAGAGCATTGCTGTCCCGACAGTCTCTTGAGTCCCTTGGTACTTGGCCCCTGACGGTCGATCTTGGAGCCGAGTCATTGTTGAGAAGCGGAGCTGCTGGCCCTCCAGCGGTGCCGCTGCGCTTGCTCAGCGAGACACGTCCCCTGCACCTTACTCACCTGTTTTACCTGTGCGTCTCGCGTGATGGTCGAAGCAACAAGCTCTCGGCGTCATCCCAACACACTAATACTCTGTGTGCGTCGCCCCCTCCCCCCCCCACGGGCGACGCGCGCACCGAGTAATCTCATAGTACATGCGTCGTGGCGGGCGCTTTCTGGCCACACCGGTGTGAAAACTATATACTACAAGATGGGTGTACTATACGTTCGGGTCGGATGCGCGCCCCCAAGGAGGAGATGTAGTATTAGTATGCCTGTTCGCGCCTCAAGCTCTGGCAGTTCCTTTTACCGTACTCGCAGTGGAACGCACCGTGCCACACAGACGAGGGGGGTGCGCCGCCCGGCCCTGCAGCGTGTCTATGTTCAAGGATCCCGTCCAGCTGGAGCATGCGGACGTCACGTCTGGAAAGGAACTACGCAGAGCTTTGCAGCCACACGAGCGTGGCAAGCGAGCGACGCAGAACAACGGGGTCTTCTGCGCCGACATCGGCGAGTAATCTGCTCGCGTAAGGACGCGCGTGAGCGCCCTCGTCTCCAATGTGACTTGCTGCGCTGGCGGCCCACGTAAGCCACCGCGTAAGGTCGCTCTGTCATCTCGCGTGAGACACGTTTTTGAGTGTCGCTTAAGTGAATCACGACGAGTTTTGAGCGGCTTCTCACTAGCATCTTTTTGTCCAGAGAGAAGCATGCTGGGAAGTTCCTGCAGGCGCGCGACCACGCGGGAAGCCGAGGCGCTGCGCTTCCCTGGTTTCCAGAGCATCTGGATTTCCCAACTTCCGAATGTGGGTTGTCGATGGGTATATGAGACTGACCAATCGGCACGAACACGAAATGATGTGCTAGGAACGTGATAGTTTCCTGGCCGTTGCATCCAAGAAGACACCTGTACTCGGTTTTCCCTTTCCGTCTGCCCCGCTCCAAGTGACAATTCCATCATGATTCTTCTCTGGCTGCCGTCCTCTCATGCAATTCTTCCAGTCCCGCCTTGGTGACGCCCTCCTGCTCCTCCTCATCCCACGCTCCTCCTCATCCTGCGCTCCTCCTCTTGCTCCTTCTTTTCTCCCCTCTCTCGTCCTGGGTCCCCCTCCTGCCTGTCTCCTCTCCTTCGCACCTCCTCCCATCTCCCATCCTCTCTTTCGCTCCCTCCCTCGGCAACCGTCGGCCCGCGGAGGCTCCCAAGGCTCAACTCTTGAGACTCGGCCCACGACCCAGACCCCGCGCCTCCCAGCGCCGCCATGGTGTTCGGGACTCTCTTCGGCTCCCGCCTGCTGCCGCGGCAGCTGTCGCTGTCCGCAGCCCGGCTGTCTTCTGGCACCACGGCGCCCGCCTCGGTGGCGTGGGCACAGGGGGACGGCGAGGGTTCAAAGATGTGGGGAGACCGAAAGGTGCCGATACCGCTACCCCCCGGACCTCTCCCAGGGTGCGCTCTGCGCAGGACTTCGAGGCGAATCCAGCGGTGGCGACGAGGGCCTCCCAGGAGGCCCACAAAGGGAAAACCAGGCGAAAGGCAGCGGTATGGGTACCTTCGGAATCCTTGGGAACCCTTAGGAACCCTTAGGAAGCCTTAAGAATACTTAGGAATACTTAGGAATCCCTAGGATTCCTTCGAGATCCTTAGGAATCAATAGGAATCCTTAGGAATCCTTCGGACCCCCTCGGAATCCTTAGGAATCCCTAGGACCCCCTCGGAATCTTCAGGAATCCCTAGAAGGGATCCTGAAGGATCCTTAGGGATCCCCAGGAATCCTTTGGAATCCCTCCGACGCGCGCGGCGACTGCGAAGATGTGGCAGCTGTGAGGCCCCAGGGCGGGGCCGAGCTGCGGAGGAGGCAGGGCGCACACCCGCCCGCCCAGGGTCGGCGTCACCTCAATTTGCTAGTACTACACCGCCGTGACAAAAGTTTCTTCAATGTGCTATGATGAGGATCTCTCCCATCCCTCTCAATATTCCTAACGTGACATGATGCTTGGATCATTCGGCGGAGTAGTTTCCGATATCAGAGACATTAATAACTCTATTATCCCAAACCGGGATCGGAAACTACTCCGCACCAAACCACACAAATTATCGAGCGGGATGCGATTGCGCGCGGAGTAGATTTATTAACACTGCCCCGAACTACCCTGCACGAGCGCGTCATTCCAAAAGGCAAATTGAAAGAAATTATCGTCACGGCGATGTATGTGTGCGTCGCCCCCTCAGGTGGAGGGTTTCGGCGAAGGGCTTAAGCGACCCGTCCTCCTCCTCCTTTCCTCCTCCCTCTTCTTCTTCTTCTTTTCCTCCTCTTCCTCCCTTCTCCTCCTCCTCCTCCTCCTCCTCCTCCTCCAGCGTCCTCTTCACTCTGGCTGCGCCTTGCCCATCTAGCATGCTGACACACACTTGGTTGATGTTGAACAAATCCTCCTCCTCCCCCTCCTCCTCCTCGCCCTCCTCCTCCTCCTCCTTCCCTCCCTCCCTCCCTCCCTCCCTCCCTCCCTCCTGCTCCTCCTCCTCCTCCTCCTCCATGTCCCCCCCCCCTCCCCCCCTATCCCTCCCCCTCCCCCTCCCCCTCCAGTCCGTAGCCATTTTGATTCAAGATGCTTTGTTCCACTTGGGAACACGAGAATACCGCTAGTCCGCGGCTAGTGCCAGGGCGACTCAGCCCGACAGTTTTGTTCAAGAGTCTCGGCCTTCGCCGCGGGAGTTGGGCCCCCGCCCCAGGATTGCAACCAGGGGAATGGCGCCGCCGCATCACCGAGCGGAACAGCGCAAACATCAGTGGTACTGCAAGAGCTGCGTCGGGGCCCGTGGCTCGCCATGGTTCAACGCCCCCGACGCGATGTCGTGCACCAAGTGCAAGCTGGGGGAGGGCCTCTGTTTCAAGGAGCACCGCTTGCCTTCGGCTCCGTCCTCCTCAGCACGCTCACCAATCGCACGCTGGCGGCGTGGTCGAGCTCGGTCGAGGTGCAGAAGGAAGCTCAAGGCAAAGTTGGCCGCGGCCTACGCCAAGCTCCAGCAGGCCACTGGCCAGACAGCCCCTCAGCCTGAGGAACCAGCCACCACTGGCGACGAGTATTCCAAGAAAAAGGCTACGCGAGCTTGCGGACCTCATCAAGACGGCAGGCTCCAACACCGACCCGCACATGGTCGCTGCCAAGGAAGCCTACTTCAAAGAGCAGTCTGAGATCAAGGTCACGCTGGCCGCGGCCAGGCCGCTGGGTCAGCGGCTCCGCGACCTGGGGGCGCATATCAACCGCCAACAGAAGTTATGCCAAGACCAGGAGCGGAAGCGGGACAACTTCCGTGAGCGGAAGGCGCACCTTCAAGAGCAGGGGGACGCAGCCACTAAGCAGTTGGCGGAGATTGATAAGCCGATGGAGGAGTCTCAGGCGCTCCAGCGCGAGCTCCAGCGTGAAGTACCAGTTCCCCCGCAGAGCTCCATTGGGTAGCCTGCCGCCGACGAGCCAATCAAGGGCCTCTTGGTCCCGCTCGACGGCCTGGGCGAAGTGTCCACGGCGCTCGGGGTTAACCGCGAGCTGGCGGAGCGGCCCAAGACTGACCTCGAGTATCTGCGCAAGCTGGAGGCTGAAGCCCGCGCCAAGCAAGCTGAGCGTGCTGGGCGCCAGGCCGCAGAGCGAACAAGTCATGTGCAAGCTGAGGCGCGGGCTCCAAACGAAGAGATGGCTGTGGACGCCAAGGGCGAGCAGAGTCTGCTCGAGGAGGTGGCCAATGCGGGAGGTGGCAAACGTAGGGTCGCTGAAATCTTCGAGGCGCACGGGGCCAAGGTCAAGTGGACCAAGTCTGCGCCCTCCGTGTCGCAGGAGGTCCCGCCAGCAGCTACCCCACCTCAAAAACAACGGCTCATCTTTCCAGCGGATATTCTTGTCTCTTGTGGCTTTCTTTGGGTTGTTGACGAGTTCGATTGCTATCACTACTTTGAATGTTTCTTCAGGCGGCCCTCTCATCGACTGCCTGGGGCCCTGCCGCAACATGTGCACCGCTGTGCAGGAACATCATGCCCGTGTCGAGGGCGGCGGCCTGGCCAAGGCACAGAAATACGCATTGGCCGAGGGTATCCATGGCGTTTGGGGGCCCGCTCTGCCTGGGGCGGGCGCTGGGGCGCAGGCAGGCGTGGCCATCTTGGCGCCCGGACGAGTGTTGGTCACTACCCCGCCAGGCCTAGGCGGGCCCACGCTGGGGCCTGGCAGGGCGGCAGCCGCGCGCGTCAGTTGCGGCGGCCGAAGGGGCGTCGTCATGGTCTCGGTCTACCTTCGCGTCGACGAGCAGCTGTCGTCCGAGAACCTGGTCATGCTTTTCAAGCTCTACAAGTGCCTCCAGGCGCTGGAGGCGATGCAGTTGCCGTGGATCGTGGGCGGCGGCTTCAACAGGGAGGTGTCGCAGCTGGGGTCATTGGCTTGGTTGCACTCCGTCAACGGCGTGGCCAGTGTTCCGTCGGCCCCCACATGTTTGGAATCTCTTCCTGGCAGCGCGATCGATTATCTCTTCGCCTCCTGACTGCTGGTCCCGCGACTTAGCCCCGCAGCTGTCGGCGAGGCTGACACTTGGCCACGCCTGCCCGTGACCATCACGATGCGGGCGAAGCCCCAGGACATGTGGATCAGGGAGCTGGTGCAGCCGAAAGGGGTCAGCAAGGCCCCCAATGCAGAGTGTGCGCGGCCGCCTTCCGACTTGGGGCCGCTCCGCCACCGAGCTCAGGAGGCCGCCGCTGCGCTGGATATGGCACATGTGTGGGGCCAGTTGCTGCTTGGCATCGAGTTTGGGTTGCAGGGGAGGTTTGGTATTGTTGGACCGTGTACCGACATATTTACAAGGAATGTAGGCCCCTCGGCGCCCGAGTGGAAGAAGTGCGATCCCGCGGAGTCTGTATCCTGGAAGCGCAAGGCACCTGGCGTTGCGGCGTGGGCAACGGCTGCGCGGTGGGCTCGCCACTTTCGCAGGGTACGCACGGCCCTGCAGGCGTTCGTGTTCAAGTTAGCCAGCCCCGCGTTCATTCTCTCGTCGGTCAACCATTGCGAGGGGGAGTTGCGTGAAAGCTCTCCACAGTGTGACGGCAGGTTTCACGATGCTGGTCCCTCCTCCAGCAGTTCTCAGAGGGCGGCTGGCTGGTCTTCAGGCGCGTGCGGCGGTTCGGCCTCTGGGTCGACAGGCGACGGCGTATCTCTGGAGGACAGACTCTCGGCGGTTAGAGCGCGAGCCCCAGCCCCCAGGTGCACCCATGAGGTAGACAGCGCGCGGGGCTGGGCTCAGTCGTCGAGTTGTTTGCTGGAGCCTGCCCCCAGGTGCACCCAGGGGGTGAAAGGCGAGTGGGGCAGGCCTGCCCCGATGCGGGCAGCGGCTGGCGATGCTACCCACTGGCGCTTGAGGTAGATGTGGAGTTCGGCTCGGTGCCTGGCAGGCGTGCTGCTGGCGGCGCCCGCGGGGCCGCTGCCGCGGCGCTTGCCGGGTCGCCTCCGGAGGTGGCGCGCGGGAGAGGCAGGCCCAGCAGGGCCGCGACCGCTTTGGTGGAGGTCGCGGGGGAGCTGGGGCCCCAGGTCAGGTTTGCGGCGAAACTGCGCCTCAGCGAGGTGGACTGGATGCCCGTGCGCGGCGTCCTTCCGAAGGTGGGCCGGACGTCTTCTGCGATCGCCGGCCTCAAACATGGGAGGAGGCCAGGCTCCCAGCTGCCGAGGGAGAAGGTGTTGAGTGCGCAGGGCCCCGCCCAGCGCCTGCCTTCGTCGCGCCTGGCGTGACAGGTAGCTGGCCCCCGACACCCCCCCGCGGGAGGTCCCCCGACAAGCTCTGCACCAAGACAGCGAAGCACATCTTGGAGTTCGAGAATTTCTTGCGTCGTATGGGGGCCCAGGCTGGGATCTGGAATCACTTGGATGGGCACGCCAAGGTTTTCTTTGGGCGCGGCATGGGCTCTTTCCTGCAGGATGATTTCGAGCAGCAGATCGACAGGATCCTGGCGAAGGCTGAGGCGATGCAGCGCACTCACGATCAGAAGATTACCCAGGGCTGCAAGTTGTGGGCCGAGGCAGCTTTCGAAGGTGGAACCAGTCGCGCTCGCAAATTTTCCAACCGCAGGCTCTCCAGGAGGTCATTGACTTCGGCGATGGAGTGCAGCATGCCTACCAGCTCGCCGACGGAAAGTGGGAGTATTGGAACGGATTCTGGCAACAGCATGAGGCTCAACCCGTCGAGCTTCCGCCCGGCGCTGCTGATTGGGGCCCGCCCCCGCCCCTCACTGGCAATGACATCCGCAGGGCGGTCCGAGCTCTCATCTGGTCTACGGGGGTGGGACAGGTCAAGATTGCGCCGCGAGTGCTCGACCAACTGTCGGACGCTGCCTTGAGTGCGATGGCGATGGCGCTTCGCCGCTGTGAGGAGTTGCTGCTATAGCCTCAGGAGAGGCTAATGTCCAAGATGGTACGTCTCCCCAGACCTGGGGGAGGGGAACGCCTCATCGCGCTCCTCAACACTCTGATGCGTGTCTGGGGTCGGGCGCGTCGCCCGATTTCGGCGGACTGGGGGCTGCGCTATGCCAGCGAGGAGTTCTGGGGCCATATGGGCGGACGTTCCTCCACAGATGCGGCATTCGACCTGGCGCTTGAGACGGAGACGGCGTGCCGAGTCTTTTCCGAGTCAGCGCGTGCCCTTGGCCTCATTCTGCAACCCGGCAAGTCTGGCCACTTAGCCTTGGCGCGTCAGACGGCTTATCATTTCAAGTCGTTCGCCAGGATGCTCCAGATTGCAGGCGAGCGCCTCGTGCGGCATCATGGCCATGACCTTGGTGCTGCAGCGGCCATATGTGGGGTGCAGAAGGACCGTCTGAAGAAGATGCACGGCAGGAAGGCCAGAATCCGTGCCCTTCAGACGGGAGTTGGACGTGCCAAGGCGGCCAGGATTTGGATGCCAGGAGTGCTTCCCTCTGTCTGCCACGGCGCTGCCGTCAGTGGTATCCATGACCGCGAGCTGGAGCAGTTGAGGGGCGTTGCTGGGCGTGTTTTTTGTGGATTCACAGGCGCAGGCTCGCTCGCCCTATACCTCGCTGTGCAGAGGCAGCGCACATGCGACCCGATCTACCACGCCACGTGGGTTATCCTGCAGCTGTATTCTGCCTGGGTGTGGGAGCTCCGCGGTTCGTCGTCGCACCTCCAGAAGGCGTGGATGGCGCTGCGAGACCAGATCAGGGGCGCCCCCCAGTTCACCTGGGATAGCGCCAGAGGGCCGCTCTCGGCGCTCTGGCTCACGCTGAAACGGGTGGGCTGGGACATGGTGTCGCCCACGGTTGTCGTCGACGACCTCGGCGTGGCGTATGACTTGCTCAGGGTGTCCCCTAGCGAGTTGAAGTGCTACCTCTTCGCCAGCCTGGAGAGATGGCAAAGTCACAGGATTCGGGGCCACGTTCCTGGAGCTCCTCAGCGGGATGAAGGAGGTGGCCGTCAGCGCATCTGGATGCGTGCTCTGAGGAAAGGGCATTGGCAACCGCTTTCCAATGGTCTTCGAGGAGCTCTTGCCAAGCTGCAGTAAAACGGTCTGTGGTCGCCCGAGAGTCGGCGTTTGGCGGGCTACACGGACGGCGCGAGCTGCGAGTTTTGTGGCCACGAGCCCTCGGACCTGGAGTAGGACATTTTCTACTGCTCGATCCGCGAGCCGCAGGAAGACGAAGAGGGGCCTCCCTACCACGACGACGTCTTGCAGGTCAGGAAGGACAGCCGGGGTCAGGGGCAGACAGGAGTTGGCCTGGAGTGGGACTTCACCCCCGCCAACCTGCTCTACACCATCCCTCTGAGGCTTGTTTTCAGGCCCCCTGAGCCTTGCCTGCTGCCTGTCAAAGAATGGGGCGCTGCGACGGTCCCGTGGCCAGGCAAATTCTACGGTGATGGTTCTTGTTTCGGCAGTGTTTTTCCTGAATCCAGGAGATGCGGGTGGGCCGTGGTGGCCTTGGCGCCCAACCTCGTCCCGTTCAAAGTTATTTTTGGCGGCCTTGGCGGTCCAATTCAAGCAGTTCCCCGCGCAGACAGAATCGCTGCGCTGCGCGGGCTGGAAGTTGCGGCCAGGCCGACAGAGTTTGTTACCGATCATCTGAGTTTCGCCCGTGAAGGGGCCTCTTGGGTTGGTAAACGTGCTAAACCCCCTGCCCCGCGCGCCAGCGTCTGGCGCAACATGCATCAGTTGTACAGTCCTGATGAGTGCCGACCTGTCTTCACCTGGACCAAGGCCCATCGGTCTGTCGATGAGGGTTTGTCTGCGTGCGTCGATTCGGGCGAGGCGCTCGATAATTTTTCCGCCAACATGTGGGCCGACTGTTTCGCGAAGGTGGCCGCGCTCGAGATGTAGGGTTTTTCGCCGGTCGTTCACGTTTTCAAGCTTCAGCTAGAGCAGGCGCTGAGCCGCATGAGGTGTCTTGCGTTTGCTGCTGGGAGTGGCAACGATGGCCACACCTGTTGTTAGGAAGCCCACTGCGCCCGCCCCGAGAGCTCGGCGCGTGAGGAAGCCCACCACGCACGTGTTCGTCGGTTTCCCTGAGGGAGCCTTCGGCTGCAAGGTTTGCTGGGGGCAGGCCACCACCCTCTCCTCCCTCAAATCTCTGTCCGCCCGTCCCTGCGATCCCCAGACTCCAGGGCCTGGCCATCAGGTGCAAGAGTTGGAGCGTGTGCTTATCTGCACGCGCTGCGGTGCGCACGCGGTGCGCCCGCAGCGCAGCGCCTCGCCTCTCGGTCGGCCTGGTGCGTGGCTGCAAAGGGGGCGGGACGGGGGTGATTTGGAGTCGGGCGGAGCGGGATCGGCTGCAGAGGCTCCTGTCGAATGCTCAGAGGGTCCGTCATCCCAAGACGGGCGAGGCCCTTTGCCCGCTTTTGCTGGCCAGCGCGCCAGAGGGTTCTCCTAGAGAGTCCGAAGAGTCCCAGTAGGTGCCTCCGTGGTTGGGGATTGCGGGCCCTGGGGCCGAGGCCGTCGGCCTGCGCGGCGAGGTGTGGTTCGAAGGTGCCCCAGGCTCGGATCCACTGCCCGCGGAGGCCGTGTGAGTTTCTCTGCGCGGTGCGGATTGTTGTCCGCGCCGCCTGAGGCGACCCCAGCCTTTTTGGGTCGCCCTCCTTTTATCTCGAGGCGGCTTCGTGATGCATCTTGCCGCTCTATGCGTTGCTCCACTGCTCCTCCTCCTCCTCCTCCTCCTCTTCCTCCTTCTCCTCCCCCTCCTCCTCCTCCTCTTCCTCCTTCTCCTCCTCCTCCTCCTCCTCCTCCTCCTTCTCCTCCTCCTCCTCCTCCTCCTCGGGTCGCCTACGGCCTCGGGGGAAACCGTGCACCCCTCAGGGGCGACGCGTGCACCGAGAAATCTTATAGTACATGCGTCGTGGCGGGCGCATTCTGGCCACACCGCTGGGAGAAGCGATCAACTACAAGATGGGTCTATTATACGTTTGGGTCGGACGCGCGCCTCCAAGGAGGACATCTATCACAAGTATGTATCCGTGCGTCCGCCCAGGGTGTCCCAGCCTGCGCTCTCGCGGCTTGTGGCCGAGGTTCGGCTTTCGGGCGCGAGTGCATGGCCTCCGCGGCCCGCGCGACGGCGGGGGGAGCGAGGGCGACGAGGCGTTGAGCGTGCGAGAGGCGAGCAGAGCAGGAGGTGTCCGTCTTCGAAGAAGAAGAATACGAATCACAATGATAACAGTGATCATGCTAGTAAGAAAAACAACACTAATATTACTAATTCTAATACTGAGGATAAGAATGATGATGCAAATCATAAGAAACATCCAAAGAAAAAGAAAAAACGCCACCAACAGAAACTTTTGGCGTTCCGCGCGGATTTTCTTGGATTCGCGCTGGGCCCCCCCCAGCGGCGCGTCCGGCGCTGCCCCTGGCGCGCTCCGCGCGTCAGGGAGGGGTCCAGCGCGGATCCCAGAAAGTACACGCGGACCGCCAAAAGTTGATGTTTATGCAGTTTTTGGTTCCTCTGTGTCCGTGATCCCTGGGCTCCGGCCCCTAAGAGTCCCGAGTCTTTCTCCCTCCCTGCCCCCGGTGAGGCGATCGCTGTAGGCGTCGGGGCGGCCAGCGGGCTTCGCCTGAGGGGTGGTGCCTTCGAGGAATCGAGAGGCTGGCATCGGACGCATTGATCGAGGAATCGAGGACGCCGAGGCCTTCGAGGAATCGAGGACGCAGAGAGATCGATGAATCGAGCATCAGCAGAGCACCTTCGAGGAATCGAGGACGCCGATGCCTTCCTTGGCGAGTGGCGGCGGAGTGCTGGCGGAAGCCGGCGGACACAGAGTGGGGGCGGCTCCGCCAGCGGAAGCCGGGGCTGGCGGAAGGAACTGCTGCCCTCCCAAGAGAGGTGCCAGCCTGCCAGAGTAAGGGGCGGCATGGCTTCGAAGGTGCATTCGAAGAAGAAAAAACGGAAGAAGCATACGAGCTCCACACCACCCCTCACGAGGCCCAGAGGGCCCCAGGGGCTCCAGCATTGAGCGGCAAGCTGGGGGCGGGCACCTTGGGCCGGGGGCACCTGTTGCAACCCCCGACGATTGTGAAGAAGAATGAGCGCCATAAACATAAACTTTTGGCGCTTCGCGCAGATTTCTTGAGTCCGCGCTGGCCCCCCCCCTGGCGCCGTCTCTGGCACGCTGCGCGCGCCAGGGAGGAGGGTCCAGCGCAGATCCAAGAAGCCCGCGCGGAGCGTCAAGAGTTTACGTTTATGCAGGTTTTTCTTCTTCTAATGCTACTCGAGCAACGGCATGGTTGTCTGAGCTCTGCGGCGCTGGCCATCCAGCCTTCGGGGCCGAGTCTTGCTCGGCGTGGTGTCCGTCCGTCTCCCGAGACATGGTATTATTTTTGGGCTCAGGGTTTCCGAGACCGAGCATCTGGTGGCGAGTGTGTCTCAAGGCCAGTCTCCTTGTGGATGCCGCTCCCCCCGGGTCCTCGGAGTGGCCCCCCCCCCTCGAGCCCCGAGGAGACCCCCCCCGTGAAAGTCGCTGCACAGCAACACGCGCAGAGCATTGCATTGCGGTGCAATGCAAAGCAACGCAGCGAATCGCAATGCCACACAATGCAAAGCATATCGAGTCAGTTCAAAGCGAGGCAGAACAGTGTAACGCGATGCAGCGAGAAGCAATTCGAACAAACCGATGCAATGCGCTGCACTTCGGAGCAAACCGACGCATCGCTGCCACGTGTGCCAGCTTCCCCCGCAGCTCGGGTTTCGCCTGTTCTAAGCTCCATGTTGTATGTAGCTTGTAACTTAGCTTGTCTTTGTCTTTGGCTTGTCTGGAGCCACAGTGAGTCCCTACAGCGTAAGGGCCTTTGTAGTGCGGTCCATCATTTGTTCAAAGCGTATGTTTGCCTTGTATTGTAGATGTCCTTGTAGATTGAAGTACGGGTGGTTGCAATCCCCCCCGCACTCTTGGCATGGTCCTGGACAGTTACCTGAACATGATGTTTCGGCCAGTGACCAAAGCTCAGTGACAAGAACCAATGGACACTAGCGATCCAGTTAGGAACCGTGTCTTTCCAGATCCTGAGAGCTCACGCAAGTCGGTCCAGGCCTTGTCATCGCCTCTTTGGTAACAGTTGATTTTCGGAACTAATATGGACGCCGATGCCTCGCATCAACTTCCGTGGCCAATGCCAGTTGTTATTTGAATGTGCGCCTGGAATCGGAGGCACACCATCGTCACGAAACGTTTATCACATTCATGTTGATTGCCCTGCGTGCAGATCCAAGAAGCTTGTGCGGACCTCCAGAAGTGTGTGTTTGTACCCCTGCTCTTCTTCGGCTCCCGGACGACGTGCCGTTGCGTGCTCCTCCGCCTCCTCCCCGTGCATGGAATTCGCCTTCCGCCCTCCCATCTCCCCCGACCCTCGCCGACACCTCCTGGCCACCCCGACGCTCGCTCCTTCCTCTGGACCGGTCCGGGTGCGCGTCGTGCTCCAAGAGCGCCGACCGTCCTCTGGGTCGGTATTCCTGGCGCGCGCCCGCGAGCGGCGCCCAGGTCAGGATGTGGGTTCCGAAGCGATGCGTCCCGGGCCTCCTCAGTCTGGAGGTCTTGCATGGCAGGGCCCGCGCGAGTGTACGTGGTCGAGGCAGGGATTTGTACATGCCACTGCCTGGAGAGCTGATCTTCCTAGACCTCGGGATCTGTGGATATGGATATGTTCGCCCTCCCTGGGGCTAAACGATATCCACATCCACTGGCCGCAGGGCCACGAGGTCGGTTGCCCAGGCGGTGGATACGGACATACCCACGCCTCGCAACATGCAATCACTCCGCAGGCGAGAGCGCGGGCATCGAAGCACAGAGAGCTTGAGGCTTGCAAATCTGGCCGAGGTGACTGCCATGACTTCTTCTGCTCGTGCCCGTGGTCCACTTCACCTGCAAGCCGCAGGCAGCCGCAGCTGTTGGAACGCGCCGCTGCCTTCCATCTGCCCTTGGCATCAGCTCCACAAAATCTGAGCGCATGTGATCAGTATGCTAAGAAGCCAGCCCCGATGACACTTTGCTAGTTGGTCCCTGGCCCAACTAGGATACAGCTGCAAGCGGTTGTTGGGCTCGAGTCGTCGATTCCACATAAGTTCGGAATGTATTGTGCGTTATCTCCTCGGGGCAGCCTCCGAAGTGTGCGATGATGTCGTGGGTGAGGGCTGTGCTCCTTGGAGGGAAGGAGGGACATCTAGGGGCGCTTGCATGGTGTGGGGGGGTTCAACCAGGGGAATCACCCCCAGATGTGCTCCCATTGGAAGGTTCAGCGGTGGGCTGGGGGGCACAGTGCACCCAGGGAAGGGCCCTCCTTCTGCGGGTGGGTTCGTGGGCTGGTGCTTTTGGCGGAAGGGGTTCACTGCTCACATCCTGAGTGGAGTTCTTTTTTTCTTTGGACACCCCCGTGCAGGAAGGAACACCTCACCCTCTCTTCCTCTCCTCCTTGCAGACTCACCATCACCATCACACCGTGACCATCATCATCATTTCCATCAGCACCATGGCCATCATCATCAACATCATCATCCCATCATCACCTTCACCACCACGCTCACATTCTCACTTAACACAGTGCCATATTGAGGATGCCATGCCATATGATCACTAGCATCCTGACTTACGTCTTAAGCGTCGTCCTCATCACTAGCACTACTTCATTACCAGCGCTACCACGATTATGATCCTGATTCCCCCGCGAACTCTCATGATGTATATCTTGCGCTCAAGGTTGAATCTGCAAGACTTCTCGATCGGGAGCCTCGTCTGTGAGTGAATTGTGAGGCAGTGTCGAGCGGGAGCCCCTTCTATGGGTCCCCATTCCATGCTTGTAATCCCAGGCGGTTATCGGGAAATTGTAGCAGGCATAGCACCTCAGCACCCCAAGGGGCCAACTCGTGAGGGAGTCTCAAGTGGGAGCCTCGTCTGCGAGTGAATGCGAGGCAGCATCGATTGGGAGCCCCTTACCTATGGGGCCCGCACTTTATCTTTGTAATCCCAGGCGGTCATCGGAACACCGTAGCAGGCACTGAACTTCAGCCCCCAAAGGGCCAAATCGCGAGGAAGTCTCTAGCGGAGGTCTCGTCTGTTAGTGATTTGCGAGGCAGTACCGGGCGGGAGCCCCTTCCCAATGGTGGCCCCGCTTCATGCTTGTGATCCCAGGCGGTCGCCGCGTCTGTGAGCGAGACGCGAGGGCGTCTCGAGCATCAGCCCCCTCCCCATGCGGCCCACGCGCCATGTTTGTGATCCGAGGTGGCCATCGGACAACGTGTAGCCATCGCCACTTCTGGGCTCCTGAGGCTTGAAGCTTGAGGGGGTCTCGAGCGCGGGCCTCGTCTGTGAGTGAGGCGCGAGGAAGTCTCCAGCGGGAGCCCCCTCCCCATGGGGCCCGTGCGTCATACCAGTAATCCGAGGCGGCCATTGCTCATCGGAGAACGCGCCAGTGCCAGCCAAGGCGGCGACGGCGCCATGGAACATCGACGCGCGCGCCCTTGCAAGAGGGACGGGGGAGAAGAGGCAGGAGAACGAGGAGGAGGAAGAGCAGAGGGCGGTATGAGGGCCTCCGCCAGGGCGGAAAGGATCAGGGCGATGCTGCGACAGGAAGGCAGCCTTCGCAGCCACGAGGATGATGAGGATTAGTTCCAGATTCGTTTGGGAGATTCTCCTGTGAGGTCCTACCGTCGGAGTAATTGGGTGGTGTCCGGAAGCGTTTGTTTGCTTTGTTTCATTGTTGTCTTTATGTTTTTGAGGCGTGGTTAGCTGCGACTGGATGTATGTCTCAGTCAGTACCTGCAGAAGTCATTCTCTCGTAGGAGAGCCGACGAACCATTTCGCAATAAAAAGAAGAGACCCTGGTGAGGGACCATAAGGGACTAATGTTTATGATAATGGTGATGCTGATGATGATGCTGCTGATGATGAAGATGATGATGCTCATGATGGTGATGATTATGATGATGATGCTGATGATGCTGATGCTGATGCTGATGATGATGCTGCTTACGATGATGATTATGATCGAATGACGCTGATTATGATACTGATGTTTATGATGATGCTGATTCTGACGATGCTGATGCTGGTGATGCTGAGGATGCTGAGGATGCTGATTATGATGATGGTGATGATGCTGACGATGCTGCTGCTGCTGCTGCTGCTGCTAATGCTGATGATGCTGCTGCTGCTGATGATGCTGATGAAGATGATGCTGATGAGGATGATGCTGCTGCTGCTGATGATGATGATGATGGTGATGATGCTGCTGATGATGATGATGATGATGATGATGATGATGATGATGATGATGATGATGATGATGGTGTTTTTCATACTGATGATGGTCTTTTCTTTTGAAGTTTAATGCCTTTCGAGGGGGAGGGGAGAGGCCGAAGGCTTGCATACCATAGCCTTCGGCTCTCGAGCTAAGTGCCGCGGCGGGCCGCGGTGCATGGCTTGGCTGGGCCTCCCGGAGGGTTTGCTGAGGGTCCTGGATCGCTGGGACGTGCCGGCGCTGCAGGCCTGGGTCGCTCGCTGCCCCGCGATCGAGGTCCCGCCCTGCCGCGCGTGCCTGGCCTGCCCGCCGTGCCCTGGGGCCACCGTGGGCGCGACCTCGGGCGCGGTGGCCCTCGCCTGCCTGGCCGCGGGCGTGGCTGGCGCCTCCCTCGGCGCATTGGTCGCGATCGCGGGCCTGCGGGTGTGGGGCCCGCTCCGCTTCAGAGTGAAGCGCGGGCCCGGGTCCCGCCGGCTCCGAACGGGGCGCCTCCACGCCTAGCGTTGGCGGCGACTGGCGAACGCGGAGGCGTGGGCGTGGGTTCTCTACAACTTGGCGGGCGCGCCGCTCCTCCACCAGAGGATGGTTGTGGGTCAATTGGCACTCACGGATGATGTGATCACAGTGGCGCCTGACGACATGGTCTACGCGGAACGCTTGCTGGCAGCTGGGCCCGACATAGCAGCGGTGCGTTTTGCGGCAGCTCGTTGGCCGCCCCCGCCTGGGATCGCGTCCGACGCCACCTAGAGGTTCGCCCGCGCCCCGTCGGCAGCCCGCGAGGCAGAGTGGCTGGCGGCCGCGACCGCCGAGGCCGACGTCGAGTTCGCCCGCCGCCACCCTGGAGTGCCCCCTCCCGCCTGGTGGCACGCTCATCCCCATGAGCGGCGGGCTGCTGCCGGGAGGGTCCCCCCTCTGCTGCCGCTGGTGGGGCGTTGGTGGGAGCTGCCGCGGGCCCGGGCGGTGATGCCGCCGCGCTGGCTGCCGCGGGGCTCCCGCCGCCGGCTGGGCGCTGCCGGGCCGCCGCCGCCCGCCGCGCTGCCGCCTGGCCCGCTGGTCGCCCCTGCTGCGGGGGCTCCCGTCGCAGCGGGAGCTCCGCCAACCGTCGGTGCGCCGCCTGGGCCGGGCTGGAAGGGCGACGGCGGCCCCCCGCTCGGGGCCAACGGAGAGGCGCCAGCAGGTCGGCCCGATCTGAAGGCGTCGTGCTGGCGTCGCGGGCTGGCAGGTGCGGGATCGTCATGCTCGGAGCGGGGGTATCGGCCATGGCTTTCATCCTGGAGGATTGGAGGCGGGCCGATTTCTCTGCGAAGTGGCGGGTGTCGGATCCGCGGACGTCGGCACGCATCGCGGGCAGCAGTGGACCTCGCAGTTGGCTCGCGGTGACGGAGACGTCGAGAGAGATGGCCTACCCCCACTTCGTGCTGCAGCCGCGCTCGGCCGCCTGGCGCGTAGCTTGGCTGCTCCGCGGGGGCGGGCCGATTCAGCGTCGCGAGAACTGGAAGGCACGCAAGCGGCTCAGCACCTCGGACTGCGGGGTCGCCGAACACCGCGCCCTGATCACGGTGCTGGAGGACCTAGCGGCGATCGACGAGGTCAATGTGTCGAGCCTTGTCGGAACGGAGCGCCCGCTCAGGAATGTGCAGCTCATCGAGCACTTCTGGGAGGAGATGCAGAGTGGGCAGGGCGCCACCCAGCAGAAGTTGCCCCAGAAGGAAATCAGCGGTTCATGGGGGGCACGGGGGCCACCAGCCGCCCCGGCAGCATGGTCTGCCCCGCGCTCTTGGACGTCGTGGGCAGGGAGCTCGAGGGCGTCAGCCAGCTCAAGAAGACCCCCCGCTTGCTGCGGGAAGATGCGAAGGCCGCCTCTCGGGCCGAGGCCGGGGGGGCGAAGTCATGATGTCATCGTGCCGGGGGGGGGCCTTCCGGCCCGTCCACCCCAGGCGCTGCGGCAACTGGGCCTATTTCGGCGTTCGCCTGCGCCGCTGAGAGTGTGCGTGGCAGGGGCGGCGGAGTGGGCGCGGAACGGCAGCGGGGCCTTTTTCCGCTGCCCGTGCGTGCTGCTGCTGGCCCCGGCGAGCTGGCTGGTGGCAGGTGTTCTCGCAGTATGCTGAGGCGGGCCCGCCGTGCTGCGTCTGCGCCGTGGCTCATCAGGCAGGCGGCGGGGTCGCTCAACGGCCTCAGCGGCGCGGGGGGCGGTGGCGAGCCTGGGCCGCTGGCCGATGCGGCGCTGGCGCAGCGGCGGTGCCAGTCCCGCGTCGCGGGCTCCGTCATGCAGCTGGGCCCCCCGCCGGGCGACCTTCAGCCTTCGGCAGCCCTTCGGGAGCTCCAGGCTGCTCTGTCCTACGACGGCGCGCTGCCGACCAGGGCGGAGGCGATGGGCGTCTCCCGGCTCTCGCTGCCGCCTCCGGGCAATTGCCCCGTGGCGCTGGAGCGGCTTCTGGAGTCCGAGGTTTATGATTCCTATCGTTGTGATATCTCGAGCATGGTCTTGCCAAAGACCGAAATTTTGAAGGTGGGGCAGGGTTATCAGTTTTCAAACATTCTTTCCTGGGCTCGGTTTAAGGGGTTCCAGGTGGCCGCTCCCCCCTTGCCTGTGAAGAGTAGTATACGACAGATGTGCTCACGTCTGTTGGCTCGCAGTTTTT